CTTCTGGACCAATACCAGAGAGCATCAAAAGTTGCGGCGAATTAACCGCTCCAGCTGAAACAATCACTTCCTTTCCAGCAGTGGCCGTGTACTTTGTCCCATTTTTCCAGAATTCAATTCCAGTAGCCGTTTTATTGGAGAGAATCACTTTTGTAACTAGCGATTCCACAGTAATGTTCAAATTTGTTCTGTTTAACGCTGGAAATATGTAGGAATGTGCAGTGCTTGCTCTTGTATTATTATCCAAATAATATTGAGGCCGACCTACTCCATACTGAGTTTCGCCATTAAAATCTACGTAAGAGTTACCAAGTTCTTCAAATGCACTAACTAGGGCGTCAGTCTGAAATAAATGGAAAAAAAGCTGTTTAAAATATCTTCTAATTGTTAGTTTTGTTGCTGTTTTACCAATATTGGAGTATCTTCAGCTCTACTTAAACTTTGCATTCCATCAAATCCATGGTAAGGTTCATCAGAAGCATTTACCGAAAATGTGGTTTTTTCGGTTTTTTTAAAATACGGAAGACAGTCTTCAAAAGTCCACCCAATATCGCCTAGGTCTGCCCATTGATCAAAGTCCTTGTGGTTACCACGGGAAACAAACGCATCGTTTATGCTGCTTGAACCACCCAAGCCTTTTCCTCTTCCCAAAGAGCAACGTTGGTCAACAGAACCTGAACAATTTTATTATAAATTTTGTTACAATTATTATTAAGTGATTAATTTACCTAAGCAACCGGTGGTTTGCTTAGTTGTGTTATATGCCCAGTTCCATTCCGATGCTACCAGATAACTATTCAATCCTAAAACATCTACAATTGCTGCTCTGGCTTTTCCAGCTTCCACTAGTAGAACCGTAAAATTTTCTTGCTCCGAAAGACGATTTGCTAAAATTCCTCCCGCTGTTCCTCCTCCGACAATTATGAAGTCAAACGTCCCATAGTCTGGATGGTTGATTTCCAATTTATCAATATTTGAATGTGCATTGAACTGACAGGACTTACCGACTGAAGATGCATTTTCAGACGAAAAGTAGTCATCATTGTTAGTCGCCCAAACATTTGATGAAGAATCATCAATGAAGTCTTCAATTTTCGACACAAATTCATCAAACTCTTCATCACTTAGAGCTCGAGTTAAAATGTTTGCTGATAGTGCAAAATAAAGCAATGCGGTAGCATAAAACGTATACGGTTTCATATTAGTGTTTTCTTCACACAGCGCTGACTTTAAAACTGGAAATTCGGTGTGGAATTGGCACCTAGGCACTTTTATACATTTCTTTAAGTCATGGAGATAAAAATGCTTTAGTTGTAATATTTAATTTCTATTGTACAAATTAATAATTACTCTTTAGATGGATGTAAAGGCCTGGGTTAAACAACAATATAGTCCAATGTAAATACAATTTAAGGTAGGCATATTTGCTGAATGAAAGTGATTTTAAGACTTTGTTTTAGCAGGGAAAAGTGAAAATTTATTGTTCATCATATAGTCCATCCCAATATGACAAAACTGTAATACACATATGTACCAAATGTTAACAATCAGCAAAGAAAAGCAACAATTTTTGAAACTTTCTTGGTCTTTTTCAGACATTTTACTATGCGGAATTACTTTATTAAACAATACGTAAATCCTCTTATTATTAAGTTATTGACACTAATTTAGAAAAACCAAAATTAAAAATAAGGAGCAAAACATATGTTTCGCAAAAAAATCTTTGCATATTCTGAAACTTATAATTAAACAATTAGATATAAATTTATATAAAGTAATTTCAAACTTCATTTAACTAATGAGTATTTTATCCTGTTCTACGTAGTAGAACTATGATTATTCAGTTTTTTATACGAATTTCTAGCAAATTCGCAATTTACCTACACAGTGAGTGCATAAAACAGCTTATTCTGAAAATAGCAAACTGAAACATATAATTACTTGCGTAACTAACACAGAATTAATACATATAATTAAGTCCTTAGATTCTGAAAAATCCACTAATGCCTCGTAACTACAGTTCAATGTCAGTGGTAAGATAAATGTAGAATATGTTTCAAGCTTTTTCCATTACTTGTCCATCGAGGAAGACGAAAATTTGATGTCATTAACTAGGCCTGGGTTGAGTTGCGCCATTGAGTTGATGCCGGTCTCTGAGTTAACGAATTATAACTCATCGGTTCAGGAATAATAAGTTATCGCCACATTTTCTAGTTTAAATTAAGTTTCACGCGCAAGCAATATTGTGAAAGCAAATAGAATTTTGCTCATATTTTCATCCCTATTGCTTCGTGTTATATGGTTCGTCATTTTTCTCTTTTATTTTCTTCATAATAATTGCTGACGCATTTACATTTAAGACCAAAAACTGCACATTTGAGGCAAATAGGCATATTAATAACGAAACTGAAGAAAACGATTTACTTTCCTAATTTATTGTTTACATTCTGCAAATACCTTTGGATTAGCATCTTCGATTAATTTAAATCGAATGTTGGCGATATGAATTGGTATTTTAAAAAGAAAAAAATACACTTTTTAAATCCTTGGGAGCAAACGCTCAAACTGACTTTATTTTTAATGTGGAAAATAGTGCCTATTTACACAAATACATAGAACTATTTGTTAGTTGATATTATAAATTATAATAACGTTCCAAAAAATATAAAAAATGCTTCGTATAAAAGTTACTAGTTTCGAACTGTTTATAAAGTTTAGTAACAAAAAAATGAAGCTTTGGATTTGAAAATTAGGCCCTTTTCGACTTAAGTGGGCCACCCGGTAGCTCATGTGTTTCTAAATTAAGTCTTAGTAGAACGCTTCTATCATATCATAATCATATCATTCGTTAGTTACTTATATATACATATATAAAAATATTCTATTGTCAAATTGGAACTTTTATACTATAATTTTCGTGATGGTATTGCGTTATACATCATATAATCCTTAAATTCACAAGATATTGTTGTTTGTCATTCGTTTTGCCACGTGATGATTGTGCGGAGTTGAATGAAATGGGACGTATTTGTTAAGTAATGGAATTTCTTACTATTATCTTGAGTTTGATGATTTCCTCGGTTCTGAACAAATCACAAACTCAATGGTCAAAATCACAACTTAGGACAACCAGTTGTGCTTTCACCCGGCAATTACTCGCCTTTACAGGGAAAAAAGCGTTTTCTCTTTAAGAAAGCTATTTTATTTCAGGAAAACGTAAGCAAATTTTCAGTTAATAGTCATTTTGACTATTTCATCTGTTAAAATCACACTTTAGAAAAACCACATTTGTTTCTCATTTATACCGGCAATTATTCGCACTTTTAAAATAGTTTTTGTTTGCCTAAATTAATGGTATTGAATAAATTTATTTGGTTTTGCTCATTCACATTTCGCGTATTAACAAAATTTGTGTAGTGAAGATTTATGGCTATTCCAAATCAATAGAAACAACAAAAATAAAACTAAAATTTTTTATTGATCAAAATCGTTTCTCTCCTTAAAAACAGTTTAATCACATCCTAAGCGTAAAATACAAAACATCCTGGGAACCGTAAAAAGTCAATTGAAAACATCCTACAGCACTATTTGATTGTGTACGAACAATAAATAAATAACGCGTTTAGCCTTTCCTAAACTTGAGCACCAGTATACTTATTGTCAAAAAGATGCAAATCCATAAGGTAATTGACAAAAATCCATAGTAAACTGCCGGAACTTGAATGCCCCATCCTCTGGCGATAATGCATCTGTAAAAATTTGAAAAAGTTTTAGTAGTAGAGCCACATTAGATATAAAACACTTTTTTGATACCTCAAACTTTCTGTCGCTTGGGTTAATGGTAGGCAAGTGGAAGCCCAAGTTAAGTACGGACTCATAGCTTCAATAGGCCAAATAATTCCACACAACATCACTATGGGTAAGAAGCTGCCCAAAGCCATGTAAGTGGCGGAACGTTCATTTTCGCAGACGCATGAAACAACAAATCCTGCAATATTATCGAACGTTAATCGAGCATGACAATCTGAATTTTGTGTAGCAAATTACCAAAACACATTCCACAAACACCCGACAAAATGGTCAAACTGAAGAGGTTGAACCAGTTTCCATTTTGTGTGAGTTGAAATATTGGGAAAGCGAACACCAGCACCATGGTCGTCTGACCGAACATTACAACAAATTGGGTGATAACTTGGGAGAAAAGTACTTCAGTGCCAGTAATTCCATTGACTAGCGTTCGCTCCAGGATTCCTTCATTCCTTTCCATTAACATTGCTCCGGAAGTGAGTGCCACAGCCATAAAGAAGATGATGCTGAAATAGACAGGATTGGAGCAATTTAATTCTTAATGTGTGAGGAGGGGCTCACGTTAAAATTATTCCTGGTGCCGCAAAGTCGGTAAAGTCTGGTGATCCATATCCGTAGATGGGGGTTTCGAACTACAATGTGCAGATATAACAATTGTTAATTAACAAAGAAGCGTTTCTATTCTAAGCAGCTGATACTAAATATCTTGAGGATTTTAAAGATTGAACCTTATTAGGTTCCAATTCGACCTCTTCTGTTAATTGATTTTAATTATATGAGAACTATGAACCGCAGACCCAATAAACCTTTTATGTGCTCCATGAAACAACAACCCAGTTTGACATGCCAGGATATTTTTGAGAATGCCCTGTGTAACGAAAATAATCCCAATAGATGAATTAAGTTTCTGCGTTTCCCGACTGGCCAAGAACCCTATTTTACAATACCTTTATTGGTATTCCAAACACTTTGGGATCAATGTCGCATTGCTTCAGAAAGCTCTTGGCATAGCCCTCCAGTCCAAACAACAGATCTCTTGTAATAAATGTGGCAATATTTTCATCTGAAACGGAAATTGAACTGCAAAATTGCTTTTAAACAGTTAACACATGCTTACTCGACTTATCAGAAAACACATCAATGACGCTTCCAGCCAAGTCCCATGAAGGTGTATCTTTACCGTTGTCTATTCTTGATCGTAAGGAATCTGAGAAATTGTTTGGCACCACCAGCATGGCCCAGGACTTGCCTTTCTCAACAGTTTGCCGGGCTTCTGCTTCTGTTGCATAGTAGTTCTATAAAATTGTTTTATTTACTTCTTGGTACCTTCAAAGGTCAACAACATTTTCATCGAAAGTTGAAACTTTGGTACAATGCGGTTCATCACCTACCATTATGAGGGAGTAATTGTTAGAAATATAATCCAGATAATTGCAACTTAGATAGGAAGCGTTGCAACCTGCCTTGTACTCGCAACGTTCCATCGGATAGTTGATCTCATTATTAACCACTGATAGGGTGACATCGTTCGGATCATGTCCAATAGAAAGGCAGAACAGAATCATTTGGCCCACTGGCAATCCTGTAACACAGAAAATCTTGGTGGAAATGGCGCATTTTGAGTGCATTCTTTCATACCAATAATAAAAGTCATGACCGGGATATTCCTCCACATCCATAAGAAGTTCTTCCAAACCAATGCTCGCATGTGCGACCATTTTACTATCTTCAAATAGTCGGTCCACTTCACTTCCGTCTCCTCTTCAGGAGGGAGTTCTGGGGGTATCGTTTCTACAGATGCATCCGGTGCAATTGAAACCCGCCCTGCAAAAACATTTCGTATGTTGCAATTGTCCACTATACAACATCTGGATCTTTACTGGCTGATCTTCCGGACATTGAAGTGTTATCGCCAAATTCTCCTGAAATTTCCCCAACTTCGTCGTCCAGAATCGCTCCTTCGTTTACTGATCCTGCTGGAATCGGAATCGCATCCGTAACGCTCTGAAGAATGCTGGACCGTCGTCGTTTTCCCATATTTTGAATGACGCTGAGCTTCAGGAAGACATCTTCCAGGCTTTCGGCTCCGAATTGGACGATGAGCTGTTCCGGCGATTCTTCGGCGAGAAAATATCCGCCTCTCATTAAGCCAATCTATGAAAAAATTTAAAATATTTACGAAATAAAAAATTGGATGTTACTGGAAATATCAGAGAAATTATTTTTGCACATTATTGCCATAGAACCAGTTTACAAGGAAGGAATGTCTTTTGCTTCCCAAATGAAGTAAATTTACAGCAATTTGCTGACCATAATTTTTTTTCTGACCATGATTGCTGGTTATACAAAAAAAAATTGTCACCAACGTATTTCGTTCAATTAATTCCTGCAGTGGATGTGTTTAAATACATGGGAAAACCCTGCATATTATTTTAAATTTAAGCACTTATTGAAGCGTGTTTAAAGTATACCTAATTCTGTAGAGAACAGAAATACTCGTGCAAAGTTTGCTCTGCATGATTATGTCATATTTTGGTATTATAGAGTTAGTCGGTATGTAAATTGACATTATTATTAAACATTTTTTTATCAAGCCATATTCGTTATTGTGTTCTAGCTAAGAAGTATTAACAGTCTTGAAAGTTTTAACATCTGAAATATTTCTGAATTAACATCTGAGATATACTGAAATAATATCGGAAAAAGTTCTGAATTTCTGAATTGTTCGTAAATTTTCTGTTATACACAATATTGTACAATATATATGATTCAAAAATGTCTAGGCCACATCGCAAAGTGACTAGCGAGCATCGTAGATAATTCCTGTTAAACAAAAGCAATAAAATCATCTACCTAATTACTAAATAAATTCATCTAATAGATACAAGAAAGGGGAGTGCAGTTGACAATAATTTAGTGCTATTACATGAAACGTTACTTAAATATATAATTCCATGTCATTAGTATAATTTTTCCAATTATATGCGTTGTTGTACTTCAAAGGCATGTTTTGAGTATGCTAAAAACTCGAGTGCTGTGCAATATAAAAACCTCAGATATTTGCAGAAGCAGCAATATTTATTATGCGGTTTCGAACTACGGCAACATAATCCTGATTAGATTTTGATCCGAATTAGAGAATTACTGTTAGGTCGACCCTTAACATTTTTTTGTTCAATTCGAGCATTCTTAGTTATAAAATCTTGTCCCTTATAATCAAACGCAACAATGTAAATATTGCTAGTTGCCTTACCAAATGTGCTTGCCGAGCTTCGTCTATGTAATGGGTAGTGATAATCACTGTTTTCCTTCCATGTTTAGTGATTTCCACCAAATGGCCCCAAATGTTCTGCCGTAAAAGTGGATCAACTCCAACAGTGGGCTCATCAAGAATGAGCAGCTCTGGATCGTGAACCAGAGCTGCCGCTAAAGAAACTCTTCGTTGCTGCCCTCCACTGAGACATTTTACTTGCCTGAATTATTTATTTAGTTAGTAAAATGCTCATTTGGTCAGCAATGAACTACGTGTATGGAGAAATTGAAAAGCTATTTATTCTTGGTCTTCAAATTCAGTATTTTTGCTTGTTTGTTTATGTCTTGTCTGCAATTTTGTCATTGATTGATCGTCGCTTTTTGACGTTTTTTTTATCGACGGCAAAAATTAGACAATTTTTAGAATATTTTTGAATATATTACACAATAAGCTGGTTTAACACAACAGAAACTCAACAAATAGATTTCAAAAAGTTCAAACAATATCATTCAAATGTCCGGAATTATATGTATAAAATTCTCATATAAATGTTTTTTTTGGATCAAACGCTAAAGCACGCGACTTTTACTCTAATTCCAACATATTGAGTAGTCCTGTATATTGAAGATAATTCTTCATACCCGAATGAGACTCATATAAATATTTCTTCTTAGAAACACTCAGATAATCGCCTCACAAGGGTTGACCACGTACATACCACTCAGTAGATATTTTTAAATGAGTCGAAGTCTTCTTCCTGCCTTAAACTCGCCTTTTATCTCTTAGACTAATTAAATAAAATATTAACGAGAAAGTATGGGTTGGGTCAGTTCAACGCGAAAATGGTTTTTAATGATTAGAAAAACTGGAAAATAAACTTTCTTAATGCATGTTTGTTTAGAAAGACAATATTTAGAATCTTGGCATTGGAATCTCGTAAAGTTACTGAACTTGGGATTTGAAGCCGGATAAATTAGCGCAAAGTTGCGTATTTAGATGCTTCAAAAAATCGTATTTTAAAAGTGGAAAAGTGTTGACTACCGCCGAGAAAATTCTAAGAAAAGTGAAATTAACTTAAATCATTTTTTTCAGCTCATCTGAAGACATACTTTTAAATAATTACAACATTATTTCTCTCTTTTTAAAGTTAAAATGGCAACTTTAAAGTT